AACAAAACTTCCTCTGGTATAAATCTGGTAGAAAATATATATTTAGATGTGTTTCTTTATTAGGAAAAGAACGATCAAGCAGTAAAGATGACCACAAAAGTTGTACGGCTGACAATTGTAGGATGGAAATGCAGAGCTATGTATTAAATTTGGTCATTAAAGAGTGCATTTTGTGTCTATGTAGCCTCGGCCCACAGCTGAGCTGGACCGATCCTGTTGAAAAAAAAAAATATTGGTGACATATATATTATAAGTGACATTTTGAGTTTGGACATTTCCAGTTGTTTTCTACGAGAGCTATTTGATGCGCAGATGTTTCTGTTTCATATCTGTTACATTTTTTGATCCAGCACCCATCTAAGTTGGTCTTTTTCATAATGTTTATGGTCAACATGAAGAAATATCCCTTAGACTAAGAGCCTTTAATGCCATCTTTCAGATATATTAGTGAACAGGGGAGGGCACTGTTGTGTCACAGCAGTTCTGTCAGGTGATGGAGGGAGTGAAAAAGCATCTCAAATTGATCGCTGGATGTGTAAATCTCAGTTTACAGATCAGTATAGATTAACACAAGTCTCTTCTTAAACTCTTCTTCTTCTCAGCTGACCCCATGGGAGCATAGATCATATCTTTTCTGTTTTTAATGCCGCTATTTTTTCCTTCCCCTCTACCTCCTACTCCCAACTTTCTCCCTCTTCCACCTCCTATCCTCCTTCTTCCATCCCCCCATCACACCCACCACTTGTTTTTGCCTCCCTCTCTCCCTCAGGCTGTGGGTGTCACTCTCTGTAGCCTGATTCAGAGTGTCGATTAGATCCTGCCCTATCTGCACAGCTCTGTCACAACAGAGGTAGGCCTCACATCCAGTAGGCCCAGCAGAACTCCATAATGTCGCTGAGGGAGGCATATCAGCAGCAGATGTTGGTAGCCACTCACACTCTGGCACTAGTTTCCAAAAACCTGCTGGATGCTATGGACCAGGCCCGAGTCCGGGCCAACCTGGCCAAGCCCAAACCTGCCTCACAAGATGAAGAGGACGGCTGGGAATGAGGAGAGAGCACTCAAATACCCTGTTGATGGAATGGACTGGTCTGTTATCGGATTTTGACAAAAGCTTTGTTCCCCTGAGAATGTGCAACACTTTCT